ACAACAATGCTTAGAGCATGTGGCTTAATTTTTAATCAGCTGAGTTGTTAGGCAAGGGCTGTGAGCAAAGTGGTATAAACACAGAATGGGGTTTGGCCTTTGTTGTCCATCGGGGGAAGGGAGTAAATATTTTCTTTTTCTTTCGGGGTTACTCTGCCTCCTCCCTTCTGAGGTAGATTGATGTGGATTATAAAGAAACTTGCCCTCACTTTCTGCAGAAAAGGAGTCTGGTGGAGGGGATCTGAAGACGCCTGCATGAGAGTCAAAACGAGTTTTGAATGGCCTCTGAGTTGGCGGCCAACCTCCTGAAATCATATTGTCTGAAGTCCCTTGGAGTTTCTTTTCTGAGGACAACAACGGCAGTCTATTTATTGGTTTCAGTTGCTATGAAGTGACCGTGCTCAGAAGTGAGGCTGTTGCCCTTAGCTACACATTTCTTTGCGGGCATAATCTTGTATCACACAGTACCAGATCAGCAGCTGGGCAAGGCAGAGACCCTGATGAAATATGAATATGATGATGATGAGATATTTTCCCAGTGTGAGCTTCCTTTTATAAGATAGGTTGTGGTTAATTCAGCTTGGAAATGACACATGACCTTTTCAAAGGAAAGGGCTGACTTTATTTGAACACTGTCCTCTTCCCTCTCAAGTAGGGATTTGCTTTTTTATTCTGAGATGTGTCAGTTAAAATGATGTCCTCTGAATAGTCTTATTCCTGATCGTACCCACCTCACGGGGTTGTTGGGTGATCGTGGGGGATGATGTATGGAGTGCACTTGATAGCCGGTAGGCAGGGCTGGGTAACTAACGGTGGTTGCTGCTTGTTGTTCTCATCGTGGGAAGGGAAGACTCAGGATGCTGGTGCCTGTCTTCAGATAATGAGTATTTTTGTTTCATACTCTCCTCCCTCCATGCCCATCCCCCCCTTCCCTCCTATCCTGTCCCATTCCACAGATTAGATATTTACATTCTGGGTAATTGTGGAGTACATTTCTACTTTGGATTTCATTTACTACCTTCTGTCACCTAAGCTCTTTGATCCCTCCTCTGTTTTGTATCTCATCTTCCATTTCGAGAGGAATCTTCAAGTTTTGATATTTATTTTCAACAGAGATCCACTCAATTTATGCAACTTTCCATTATGCACCAATACGATATTGGGGGAGGGGGTATCTTCATGTATCTTCTACCCAGAATCTATTTGCACTCTTTTGTCTCCTTTTCTTAAGGCAGTTCCAAATGCACCCCATGTGTGCTGACGTTTGAAAAGGCTGTAAAATTAAAGCTACGTAATTATGAATACTAGGAAAAAAGGTTTTGACAACTTTTGGTGGCATTTAATTCAAGTTAAACTCCTCTCATTCAAAATAATAAGCATAATGTTACTTATTATGTAAATGAGGTAGCAAGGCAGATGTTTTTCATCCTGATGCATTCACTGGGGATTAATACATACAAAAACTGAGCAGGAGGGGCTGTGTTCAACCTGGGAATTTGAATAAGGGTTGAGCAACGGGAAGGATGATTACTCTAGAGCTGCTCTGTTCGATAGGGGAGCCAATAACCACATGAGGTTACTTAAATTTGAGTCAATTAAAATGAAATAAAATTCAAAGTTTTTCACTCACATTAGCCGTAATTCATATGCTCAATAGCCACATGTGGCTGGTGGCGACTTCTTGAAGAGCACAGATATAAAACATTTCTGTTATTTCAGAAAAGTTATGCTGGACAGTGCCGCTAATCACAGAGAGATTAAAACAGCTAGGGATGCCTGTGGATTCCTCTTCTCCATTGGAACTTTATCCATGAGGTTCTCTACAAACGTTCAGAAAGGGTGTAGATCCGTAAAGAGCTAAGAGATTAAAGAGTTATGATCAGGTTGCTGCGGTGCTTCTTGAACTTTAAATGTGCAACCATATCACCTGGGGATCTTCAGGTGCAGATACTGAGTAGGTCTGGGGTGGAGCCTGAGAGTCAGCATTTAGATCTGGCTCCCAAGAGCTGCTGCTGCTGGTATGGGGACCACACTTGGAGAATCACGGCTTTACAGTGATTTCCAATCTTGCCTAGATAGTAGCATTATTACTTGAGTAGGTTTAAAAACCACTGATGCCTACCTCTCACCCCCAAAAGATTCTGATCGAATGTGTCTGGGAGCGGGTGGTCTGGGCATCACAGATTAAAAAAAAATCCCCAAGTGATCATTCTCCTGGTGATTAAAATTTAAGAGCCATTAATGATGACAGAGCAAGTCTGTTAGGTCTGAGGACCTGAAGCACTGGCTTCACCTGGAAGTTTGCTAGAAATGCATATTCTCTGGCCCAGATCCTGTCCTGCTGAATCATAACCTGCATTTTCAACAGCTTTCCCCAAGTGATACCCTGTACGTTAAAGGTGAGAACTCCCGTACTGGATAGCCTTTTAAAGGAATAATTCATTGATCTACCTCTATGCACTTTAAAGAAATTCTTTCAAGTAACAAGTTCTGTTAGTTCCTAAAAATACTGAGGCATATAATTTAGTCCATCCTATGCCAGATTACTGAAGCTTTATTAGATTTTCATTGCACAGACACAAACTTGGTGGTTTCTGCTTGCGTTGTAGCAGAAGGTATCAATAATCCAGGCAGAGCGGAAACTGTGCACTTTCAAGTCTCAAGCAGGAGGTCAAAAATAACCAAAGCTTTTAAGGAACCAGTTCCACATGTTTGCATAAAATTTATTATTCTAGATAAATTGCTCTTCCCTTTTTAGGTTAATGTCTTTTGATGTGAGAAAATTGTATACTTCTAATCCATCACCAGATACACAACACGGTTACATTCTTAATTTATGTAACTGCTCGTTATGCAACACTAAGATCCTGGAGGGGAGGGCAGGAAGGGACAATAACGTCTTGATCAGGGGGGAAAAAAGTTTCTACGATTGTGTTTTCCTAAAAAATCTCTCCCAGTAGTATTTTAGGGGAATAGTGCCAAAGATAATTATAATGTAGAAAGGCCAACTATGTGATGGATTAGAGCAGTGCTTCTCAAACTTGCATGTGGTAGGAATCCCTTGGGGATCATGTTAAAATGCAGACTATGATGCAGTCAGTCTGGGGTGGGGCCTGAGACGGCGTGTCTAACAATACAGGTGTTGGGACGCTGCCGGGCCATTGATCACATTTTGAGTAGCAAGGGGTTAGATGGTTCTTTCAGGACACCTTTTTGAAAACTCTCAGCTCAATGACTCAAAACATCAAATGGTCTGGTATAAACAATAAGAAGGGTGATTTTGTTGAAAGTGCTGATTTGCTGATTTGAATCATCTAAAAGAGAGACATCAAAAGGTCAGAATTATTCATAGATAGATCCATCATTATTGGGAGGCTAATCGGGAAATGAAGTCATTTAAGGCAAAAGCAAAATAGTAACACAAATACCTCAGATGACTACTAGGGCAAAATTTTCAAAATGTTGCAAGCTGTCTGCATGCTTGAAGTAGCAATTTACATGCATAATTAGGTGCAATCAACAGTTTTGAAATGTAATATATTTTCTGAGCCCATATTTACTTACGACAGATGCAAAAAAAAATCTGTGTCCCCAAAAAATAGAAGGGCAGAGAAAGAAAAATATTTGCATTTAACAGTGGGACTCTTTACAAGCACATGCCTAAATTTAGAACAAATTTAGTTGAAGTATTGTATCTTTATTTTGATTTAATCTTCATTTAAGCCTTGAAAGAAGTTCACAAACACATTTGGAAGTGACAAGCATGTAAGAATAATATCTTACCAGTCAGCTGTTCGAGCTCCTGTTGGACCTGACATGTAATTTTTACTTCTACATTGGGGAAGGAAAATCTGACATATTCAAAACTTCATTGCACAAAACACCACACTGACTTTCTTCCTGTCGTCAGAAGGGGCTTAATTCTTTGAAGATACAAAATATCTTTTAGAACAATTTATATAAAAAGATTAAACTGACAATTTCTTCTTCCTAAATCAAGGTCCTCAGATGAGTGCTCACCATGCATTTCTATCATCTTACTATTTTCAGCCTAACAGGCAATGATTGTGGAGTGCTCACTATGCACTAACGCACACTGCTAAGCACTTTACGCACATAATCTAATTTACTGTTATAAAAATACTATAAGAATTGATTTATTACAATATACTGGGGAGGAAATGGAGAGTAAGTACTTCTTTGGAGGCACAGAGCTCTATATGTTTTTGGCTGATGTATTATTAATATTAAAGGTCATATGCCATACAGTGAATTTCAGACTAATGCAAGCTCATTTTATTTTTAATAAGTTCCCAACTTAGAAAATGAGCTTGAAATCTGGTTTTTAGAAATTCTGAAGAACAGCGAATGAGTAATTCAGTCCCCAAACTTTTTTCTTTGCAAGCGCATGTTCACATTGCAATATCCAGATTGGCTGTCTACACTGCTTAAATTAAAGTGGCAATTAATTTCTGTCACATTTACAGGCAGAGTCAGAGATTAAGAGATTGAATTGAAGGATAGGACCTAATGATATGTTCTTGTGTAGCTCCATCTATTGAGACCGTGTCTTGATCTGGAAAAGTTGTCTTAAGTTAATGCAAAGCAGTCACGAACAATGCAATTTTCTAGTTTCACTGGGTAAGCGTTATCTGTGATACGTTATATGTTATGGAAAAAAGGCCACCCTCTGCTAAGAAATGCATGAATAGTTCATTTATCTGCTGATCCATTTGGGGGCATTATGGAACTCAAAGCCCAGAACAATGGGCTCTATTTAATATTAAACAGGTTCTTAATAACCTGCTATTTCTCTCCATAGCTGCTGGAGGGTCCGTCCTGGACGTGGAGTTGCAGTTAGCAGGTTCTGCGAAGTTGTAAGCTACACCCAGGACCAAGTGGTGTTAAATTTAGAAGTCATGCTGATCACCTGACTGTCGGTGAGCCCCGATTTAAAAATTTCCAAGTTCTACCCTTGTCACCTCTATCTGTATTTGCAGACGCAGCTCGTTGCTTGGCCTGGGGTCACCACCGGAACCTCCTGGAGACCTGCCCTGCGGAGGACGCCCTTCCAGCACAGGAGAGCTCGCCACTTGGGAGCGGCGGCGCCCAGTTGGCGCCCACCCCGGGGCACACTGCAGTCAATGCCTGGCGGCGACTTCTCGCTTCGCCCTCCGCCTCCCCCATCGACCCTCTCTGGCCGACCTTTACGCCCAACTCGGGCGCGCTGCGAGCCTCGCGTCCTCGCCGTCCACGCGGGGCCCCACCCCTTCCCGGTTCCTGCCCGCGATCGGGCCGGAGGCGAGGGTAGGTCGATTTCCTGCCCGGAGCTGGCGGCCGGCTCCGCTGCTTCTGCGCTCCAGTTCTCCAGCGCGGGGCTGTGTGGCGCGGAGCCGGCGGCGGCGGCGGAACCGACGGAGGAGCGGGAGCCCGGGGACACACTCACGCACGCTCCGGAGGGCTGACCCCGGAGACACGCTCGGCGCGGGGGGCGGGGCGGGGAGGGGGGAGGCCGGGCCTGCGCCGAGGTGGGGGTCGCCGGGGCTCGGGGGTGGGCTCACCGGCCCCCAGCCCTCCGCATGCTCCCCTCCCGCCGGTCCTCGCCGCCACCACCTGGCGCAGGTCGGAAACCCCTCCTTTCCTCGGCTCCTCGGCGCCGGGGCGAGGGCAAAGGTGAGGGGTCGGCGCTTGGTCAGCGGGCGGGGATGGTAGGGCTCACTCGCACCTGACAGCCCCTATTCCTTGTCCGTTTCGCCCGGCCGTTCTTCCAGTAACTTTGTTCCGGAGGCTGGAGGGGAGGGGAGACGCCGAGGGGCCCCAGGAGAGGCTGGAAAGCACCGCGAATCTGGAGGCCCGGCTGGAGAGCAAGTCCCTGGGCGGCCCCGGGGCTGGGCGCGCGGC